GTTTGCCTGCCAATAAACTTATCTGGTTGACTGCAGGTGTCCAACATCGAAATGTACGAATTCGACCACGAAAACACATTGTAACTTGGGTATACGCGACCGAGAGAGGGAGAAAGAAAAGAGGAGACATTCGCTAGGTCATGGGATAAAATTCCACACTTAAGATTTATGCAGCTCCATTATGTGGTTGGATACAATCCAAGCTTGATAATTTGGAAGAATTCTGAGAGCCGTTCCAAACTATAGACAAAAAACCCTGGTCTGATACGGATAAACACAGACAAAAATGTTCCTCGGATGGGGACAATTTAGAAACAGACCAAATTGTTTCACAAATCGAGGTCATTGAGTCACGTGTTATTTTTACGAAAAAGGAAGTTGTGAAATTGCTATACAACAAATACTTTCATTCAGAATCATGTGTTGTCTGTTCCGTCAAACCGAATGTGATTCTGACTAACTAAACAGAGGAATCACATCCACTAAATCTGACCTGCCCCACCAACATGTTTCACCGATATATTAAATATCGTTACTATGCAACAACACGACTTCATTTGTGGGAGATTGGTCGGTTTTGTGTCTCAAACTTCTAGAATGAACGGCACGGATACCATACTCGTAGATGCAGACGCGCGCATGGGCGTTGATGTGTACGTGTTTCCTACCGCAAGCATGAAATCGAGGAATACGTCTCGACTCAATTAGCAATAGATCAATACATAATACACAGGATAGGTACGGGTGCCAAAACCGTAGCGGATCGGTGATCGCACACGTACAAACATTCGTGGTCTTTGACCATTGTTCGTGAAAATTGGAATTTATTTCACTAGTTGAACTGTGAAATCCTAACTAACACGGGAGTTTGAAAAAAAATAGCTGGTCATCTGAAGGGGTGTTGTGGTCAGATTCAGACAAACGATGCTCTAAGTCGATCGTATGGAGTTTTAAATTACGAAAATCCGGGCGATTTCACCCGTTTCAAAGACCAAATCCTACTTGATTTCATCATGAACGAGTTCTTCAATTTCAGTGCATTCATTTGTTAAAGTTATTCCCATTTAGATACCATATCAACTCTGTAAAATGTCCCAGAATTTCCCCTTCGTCGAACTGGTAAAACCAGTTCGATAGACATACTGCACAGATGTGAATCGATCATAACTGTCTACACCATGAATGAGCACAATCCAAAACTTAAATAGAACCAGCCATCGTGATGTCACGAACTCCAGGATGCAAATGGATCCTCTAGTCATCATCATCCTAAGTGACATGTTGGACTTTAGAAATAAGTAGGGGGGATTCACCAAATACCTCAAAAGTGTAATCGTACCCGTTCTGAAAATGGATTCTTAAAACCGCCACTCCATTGTCGAATGTGACTTTGGCTGTCGGAAAGATTCTGGGCACAAGAAGCTTCTACGAATAATATCAGTTCGAATGCACATAAATACTCATATTTGACCTCAGTTTAACTGATCATAGATCACTTCTCAATCACCAACAGAGTATCATAAGTTGTGCTCGTTTTTGACAGAGAAAACGGTAAGGTGTTTAGAGTGATCCCCTATAATTCAGCAATTGGTGCGCCGGTTCAGCAATTCATCATTCCCAGGGCTCAAACCCCGCTGATTTGTGTGGATTCTGAGTAAATGACAATTCATTATCATCATCATCATCATTGTACAGCGAAATACAATGAAGCGAACTTTTCTGATCGCTCCCAAACTAGCAATGCATACAAGGTCAGTGGTAAAATTTAGGGCGAGCATTGATTGAACCTAGTTTGACGGGGGGAGAAGAAGGTGAGCCTCTATGGTCAACACACAGAGTACGCAATCGAACTCTGCATACACACCGTTTCAGGCATTCTGACCTGATAGTAAATGACAACAACAACAACAACAACAACAACAACAACAACAATGACAACACCGCTGTCGGTTCGTTGCCATATCCTTCTGTCTCTTCAACCAACCAATTGTGGAGTCTTTCGGATCCCAACCTGGAAGGCACGTGACAATTACTCTACTCTGTGCATTTCTTCATGCCTCGTTTTCACGTTGTTTGTTAACCTCCACTCGGTTTCCTCCAGCCCGGAGCGGCCACAGCGAATAAGGCGCGATGTGGTAGACGGTAGCTGGGCCTACGCAATACGTGCACTAGCCGGCGAAGTCTACTAGTCTTAATTCGATGTGCTAGCAGGTTTATCCCCGATAGACTCCCGAACACATGACGACTTACCTCCAGATCACTAACCCGTTCACTCCATCCCAAGTGGGCCACACTAGGTAAACACTGGCAGTCGAAAACCTCTAACCGATGGATATCTTCCACTCGAAATTTCAAATTCTCACAAACATAAAGCAGGACTGAATGATTTCATAGTCAGTTCAGCAATCGATAATGGTAACCTCCAAATCCTCTCCCAGTCCCAAAGAACTCGTCACTCGCAAATTCACCTCTCCCGGTTCAAGTGACTTTTACATTACCTCTTTTCTGGATATCGCACGCGTGTTGTGGTGTTGTTAGTAAAGTGTGTAAAACCTATCTAGTTCTAAATTCACACTGGTTCGAATGTTCCGCGAATAATCTTTGACCCCATTCTATCAAATATTCCGTGAAATTATCAGATAGATGAGAAAGGCTGATCGAAATCCACTCAATCCTGTCTACAATTTATTCCAAGGTATGAGGTAAACAGAAAGCAGGTTGGTCCGATACGTTGCCTGGTTTCGGTGCCAGAAGCAGCTTCGCTTTTCAACCCCCACTCCTGGCTGGGATTTGAACGACGCTGATGACCATACTGAGGTCTGAAGAGATCAACGCGAGTCCTTGGTAGTGCGTTGGTTACCCACTTCGACTTAGCTCTGATACTGTGTGCTGTGTACTCACCAAAGGATTGATGATTGTTAGATGGACAAAACATTCCGAATAGTTTGTTAAATATTATTCGTACAAAGATTCCTTGATAAACTGAGCTGGTATCAAAAATACCGTGTCTCCAAGGGCCATCGTTTTAAAAATTAGCCAACGAACACCAAAGCATTCGGCGTTGGATCAAAGCTATCGGACAGTGCTAGTTCTATACACAAAGATCCTTGGTTAATCACTAGTAATAATCATGTTTTAGGCAGTAAATTTATTCTGGCCTGTACAGCAATATGTACTTGTTTTTTCATTTTACTTCCTTTTATTGAATTTAAAAAGATACCAGATTCAGGAAAGGAGAAACGGTCAATCAAAAGACTGTCATTCAACACGCACAATGGGTGAAGTCAAGTGGTGGTGATGGGATTCGAACACACGTCCACCGAGTTGTGATAATGTGGTGACTTACCACCGGGCCACCATCGCACGATACGTTAAGGTAGGTTATTTCCATTGTTTTCTCGAAACAAACAAAACTCGGAAAATGTAATGACGTAATTTTTTCCCTTGTGAAAGATCAAAAGTATGACGAATTGTCAAATGCCAGTCCGCGTTTATCTATTCTAAATGCCAGATGGATCGATAAACGTCTGGCAAATACCTTGGCGTTATTTTCAACCGTAATCTCACCTGGTCTGGTTAGATAAGTAACGTTTTTCCGAGAGTTATGAGGCCACTTTCTATCCCAAATTATCTTATAAGGCGTTTTATTTTTGCTTGCGTTTTTCCCTACTGTTATCTTCCCGGGTTTCTTTAATAAGGATCACAAACTCGTTTCCCCATCCCTCAAGTTTATGTCAGTATGTAGTCTTATACCATGGGAATATCTATCTGGTACAGCATGTGGTGGCACAACACCTGACGGTCAGTGCCTTTTTTATTCATCCATTGGTTCCAGTTATAAACTTATACAGGCACACACACACACCGAGGCTTACTAGACGCTCTATTGTCCCGTATCTCATCAGATTTCTCAAAAACCATGAACTCGGTACAAAAAAAATCTGCACAAAATGACAATCTGAACCAATAAGAAACACCATGGTATGCTATTGATTTTGTGATGTTGCTGTCCCTTTTCACTTGTTTAATTGGAGTATCATATTTGCCACACTTTTATTGTTAATACGCTGTGGGTTTGTAGGTGGTTGCTGAATATTCACCACCCACCCCACCCCACCCCGGGGATGTCTAAAACGATTCCTTGATTTGACGTGGCTATTATATAACTCCGAGAACTACGTATATCGATAGGAAGATGCGGTTGTTAATCTAGTTGTGTCAAATAGGGCCTAGGGTTGGGGGGGGGGTGAGAGGGAGGGGCCATTATTCTAATCTCTATCTCCTCTGTGGTCCGCCCATCATTGAATAGATTCAAAGGAACGGTTCCGCACATTCACCATGTGATTCATTTCGTCTTTGGGAAGACTTGTTAACAGTGCATTCTGTTTAGTCTGTGTCATTTCAACGCGGCAAGAATTAGAGGAAGTTTGTCAGCATCTACGCTCTGCTACTTGTTCGGGGGCTTAGAAAGAGTTGCCCAATCATTTCCTCAGCCGTATTCTGAAATGACGTCACAGATTATTACATCTCACACATTTTCAATTGTGAAATAACCCACTCGACTAACAACCGTGGTGGTCGTTTGGTGGTTTAGTCACTATCGTTGGTGCATTTTGGATCTTATGGTCCCAGGTTCAAGCCCCACCACCGGCAACCAACTTTGGTGGTAGGCAACTCTGCTGTCCTCCAGTCCAATACCATGCCTGACCTAGAGGAGCCTTATATGGTTCGCCACTCCAAGTCCCGGTTACCATCACTGAACAGCAGGTCCTCGTGACTATGGGGTCCACCTCGTCTACTGTTCACCAGATTCAAAGTGCGTAATAAAAAAACAATTGAAATGTTTGTTGATATACCGTGCACTTACAAAAATCATTCCAACAAAATTTATTACAAAATTGACCGGCCACTGAGAAATCTACTGAGTCGCGTACTGGGGAGATAGTGAACTCACTTTTCGCTTCCAAATCACTTTTGGGAATCACAATAGTTTCCTCTGCTTCATTTCTCGTCTCCCCGTTCAACTTCGGCTGGGCAGGTTGGACTGAATTGTCCGCTGACGGACCAGCCACGGCAGGGGGCCTTGGTTTCACTGACTCTTCTTTCGACGGTTCGGCGGGTGGTGGATTGTCCGGTTTGGGGGTGAAATGCGTCTCAACAGGCACCGGCTTTACGGCCGGCGGTGGCGAATCTTTACTAGCTGTAAGCCATACTTCCGGAGTTTTCAGTCCGGCCGAACGACAGTAAAATCCAGGTTCTTGGGCTTCACGCCGGGTGAGCCATTGTTTGGTCAATCGGGGAATTTTGTACTCATACCTTACAAGACCTTCTTGGGTGACAATTTTCTGACAACTCACATTGCCCAAATCTCGAAGAAACGGACATTTGCCCGGTTCCTCATCCGCACAAGCAGATTTACAATTGAGAAAACAAAATGATCCCCACGGTGCGATTGGGCAGTGCAATAACATACTCACACCATCGGTCACAGGGCCTTGGACGCGTGAGCCCGTGTCCACCGAGGCCAGTTCACATCGCACAGTCAGCGGGGCACCTAATCGGACTCGATCGGCTGGGGGATCGAAGCTGATACTCAGAGGTAGACCACCTCTCGTGGCAAAAACCCGCTCGGTTGAAATGACTAGAAAAAGCAAAACGGATATCACACATCCCATGGGATTATTCCCTGACGTCCGAGAACAGTGATAGTTTCCCAAAGCCGGATTGAATAGACGCATCATATTACTGAGGTGATTAATTTTCCCATACAATCAAGTCTGATTCTCGCGCATCAGGGGATCAATCAGGAGATGATCAATGGAGGAGATGGATGAGGATGCAGATCGTAGAATAAGCACATTTCACTTTCGGTTTCTGTAGGGGACAGATTATCGTTGTACGATGTATTGGGACATAATGATAACAATGCGATGTTGGAGGATTAGACGAAGAGTATCCGTTCACAGCAGCTGGTAGCTGGATGGATCGGTGGCAGTAGTCCACAGGTCGTTTGTGTGCTTGATTGCACACCGGACACATGTACACAAGCACGCACGCACACACGCTCGCTCGCTCGCTCTGTCGCGCATACACACACCAACCTAGCACTTTTGGGGAGATGGGCTCACTGGCTTATTACCATCTAGCCACGGACAGTCTGCGGTGAACTGCCAAGGGCACCGTAAATTTGCACGCGTCATACAGGGCCTGTTCGGATTGGTTGGTATCCGCAACCAATGAGAATACGGATTGTGTGTGCACGCGTGCACACGTGTTCAACCGGTCCATCCACGCCAGTAACCATGCCAGCACGTGATGCGTTCATGCCTGTGTGTGTGAATAAGTAGCACATAGCTGCACACACGAGGAACGACTCAGGTGCAAACCACGCACAGTGCATACTAATAGGCTCGCGTGTTAGTGTGTACGTCGGTGATGCGTAATCCAATAGGTCACGTTTACGTTTGAACTGAGCGGGAGGGGGGGAGCGGTGAGTCTGAAATAACGATCTTATCCGAACAAGGTGATGAGCAGGCCAACGTAGTCGAACAATCGATGGCGCTAGTGCTATCGCCAGTGGCTTGTCACGGGGTCACGTGATTGTGTGCGTCAGTGGAACTGCAGTCCACCGGTATGTGTCGTTTCATGTCAGATCACGGAATCTTAAACTGTAGCTCGCTGACGAGATCTCAATTCACATAGCTTTTTGCTTTTTCTGCGGACGTCTGTTTCACGTCTTCAGAGGCGAAAAAATGGTGTTAGGCCGCCTCGGAGAGAACGGGAATTTCGATCGGACACACCGATTGTGAACTCGAGTAACCAGGACTACAAAAAATGAATAGGACCACAGAATTGTGGCGTGCAAATATTACTACATCCTTTATCATTAAACTTCAGTCAAATCTCACAGTCCTTTGACCAAGACCCGAAAACGGTTTAGCTGTAGATAGCTTTAGATATCCCCACAGAAAGAAAACCAATTTAATAAGCAAAACTGTTCTTACCTGATCTGTCCCCCTTGGATTGCTTTCGGTGGGGATATTGAAAGCGAACACTTTACTCCGGAAAATCGAGAACTATCAAGGAGCTTAAACAGAGTATTGTGGCACAATGCGAAAGTATTCCAACTGCTAGCATTCTAAAAGTGGAGGAAAACTATCTTCACCGGATTTTGCTATGCAAACAGCAGCATGCAAAACGTGTGGAACAACTTTTATGATATGAATATAATTTTTCCCGTGATATTTGTTCTTTCTTTCTTTCTTTCGAAATTCTATCTCCGAGGTAGTTAGCGAGATCCATCAACGGGAAAACAACCCGTTTGGAACAAACAAGAAGAGTTTTACGTGGGCCTACATTAGGGGATAATGTTATCCGTTATAAAGACAAGTTCAAAGTTCTACTATGATTATCTGTTCACCGAACCCGCTTCGAAAAATAGTGCGTGTATCTTAGACGAGTCAAACGTTGGCCCAGTGTCATAATCGTTTGAGCATTTCCCATTCGGAATTTCCCAAATGGCACACCGATCCACAACTGATTCTCTCGGGTTGATTCTCTACCAACACTTAGGCTGTATCCTCCACCTGTGCCACGACCGATCAGCTATCGATCGGTCGGATAGTACAGCCTTAACAAGAGATCTGGTGCTTGTCCAGCTAACCCGAACGAGAAACCACACCTTTTTACAGCCGTGAGTCTCAAGCAGGCCCAGTGAACTTGAACTGTGCAACAGGAGTGCCATCCGTACTCGGATGGGTGAGATAACAAGAGCATTTCAAAACGTTCAAGTCGGAAATCAGAGAGGTGAGGGATTTTAAGTGCTGTGGATCGTGGAATATGATCCAATCAGATCGCGGTAAGAGTCAGAGCAGATTTACATGTTTAAGATCATGGGTGACAGGGACGAGACGATGGAAAACGATGGAGCAGTCGCACGGTAGGCTACGGTCTGTTCTCCTATTGTTTGACATGAATTCATGAGGCTTATCGTTAATCTGTAGCTGGCATTCACTTCTAAACCTATTTGCCCTTCTTCTTTTTCCTGTTCTAACAACCGGTGGATCGATTTGTTCCCTCCAGGCACGTGCTCGTTCGACTCCATCATAAACATTTATTCACCCCTAGTAGATGACTGTGAAACTCCGATCTACGGAGTTGTGAAATAC